AGTTGAGGAACTCAAAGCGTCTGTGGGGCTCAGTGGTCTGGTGGCCCTTGGGAAGCCTCTTCATGAAATGCACCTCCCGCTGGTGCTGCCGGGTCTTGGAGCCCTTGCGCGGGCGGCCCTTGCGGGTGAAGGCCATGTACCAGCCCTCATACTTGGCGTTCTGCAGCGCCGTGTAGTTGTTCTCCAGGACAATCTCTGTGAAGACGCAGTCCTTGCCTTTGCCATTGCTCTGAAGGAAGCAACAGGAAGGGAGATTTAAGTAACAGACGCTCACTCAGAGGGCTGCTTCCCACTACCCCACCCTGGACTGGCTGGTGTGGCAGCAGGGTTGCAGTGCTTATGGGCAACCAAGAGCTCACTTTTTCCCACTTCTCCCACAGGTCAGAATTGCCCAAAATCTGCTTTTTAAGGAAAAGCTGCAGGGAGCAGGCACTGTGGCACAGACAAACACTGCTCACTGCAGCTTGTGACCTTAGTGTGATGCCAGCAGCAAGTCCCAGTGCAGCTGGTCTCCGCCTTCACTTCCACCACACCCATAAAAGAATTTTTGTCTCCCTCTGTGCCATGGGCTGGACATGACCATAACCAAATTCTCCATCTCAATTTGCCTATCCCCCTGGGGTCTTTAATATAGCAGGGGCACTGAGCGGCAGGAGAAGTGATGTGGGGTCAGTGGTTACAGTGCCCACAGATGCAGGTGGCAGAGGGAGCACGGGGCAGCTGGGAACTGAGCTCCCCCCATTATGAGCAGTAATGGGACTAGGGCCAGGGACCCACATCGGGCAGCCCCAGCAAGGACCTGCCATGGAAAATCCTAGCAGAAAATCATTGTCCTGGTGAGATTTTACACACCCAGTCCCCTGCCCCCAGAAAGGGGCACTGTGGCCCTGAAGGAGCATGACAAACCAGCAGGTAGCGGGGCCCGGCCTTGGGGACAGCCCCATGGAGCATCTTAACATTCCTTGCACTTGTACCATGTAATTGTGGAGAATAGACCAGCAATCTGCCTATTTGTTCGGGGAGATAGAAGGAATGTGCCCCACGCGACACCTACCTGCCTTCTTTGCTCCCCTCCTTCCCTCCAGGCTGCAGGACAGCTTCTCTCCCTGCCCCTACAAGGGGAGTGCTGACTGAACCTTGGGACTGCGGTCTCACCTCCCCACCCACACAGGTGAGCTCTGTATCAGGTCAGAACTCCTCTCCTAGCAGCCCCAGTTCCATGTTCCCAGCAGTTCCCTGCCTTGCCCATGCCCTTGAAACCTACCTTGCCAATTAGCTTCCCCTTCTTGTTCATGCAGATGTAGAAACCTGTGGCTGCCCCCTTGATGCGCACGCGGCTCCCAAAGGTGTCTGTCTCCACGATAAGCTTGGCTGGGGAGAGCAGAGAGAAGGAGAGATGTCAGAGTGGCTCTGGTATAGGGCAGGCACAGGTGTGGAGAACTCAGCAATGCACCCTGATGCTGGGCACGGGGGGCACATGCTCTCTGGCAACTGTCCAGAAAGAGCACTAAAATCAGGACACAAGATTAAGATACAGCCTTAATCCCCCCTTACCCTGCCACCGTGTCCCTGCAGGACCTTGGTCACGGCCCTTTGCCACCCTGAGCTCTGCTGGATGGGGAGCAGCTCTGCTTTACCTGGCTCCACGGGGCTCAGTGGTGCAGGTGCCACAGAGGTGTCCCAGACAGGGGCAGGGCAGCAAGCAGGGTACGCACTGGTTGGCAGAAAACAAGCCAGCTGCCCCGCAAACCGAGGCAGGTCTGGGTGGGCCTGAAGGCAGGCTCCAGGCAGGCACCTTCTGGAAGTGCACAGTGTGCTGCCAGCTGTCCCCAGCCCAGGGGACACTGCTCCATGTCTCTCTGCCAGGCCAGGACTGCAGGAGGAGCAGTGACTTTGCAGCTGGCAGGGGAGGCGTGAAGGGTACGGCCATCCTTTTAATGCCTTTCACCTTTGCACGAGTCGAGAGGGCGTATTGATTTGGTCTCAGTTTTTTAATGGAGGCATCGATCGACTTCCGAAGGAGCTATGCAAATTGCTGGGTCGATGGGCCGCCTATAAATAGACCTGTCACCTTCTCTCCCTGCCTTCACCCTGGGAACCCACGCCCCGAAGCCCATCCATCCCCAGGGAAAGGGGAGGATGGGGACAGGACATCCTTCTCCCCGGTCCTGCAACTGCTATCCCCAGAGCAAGCCCCAGTGGAGGCAGTGGTTACCTGTTTGCACCTCAAAAGGTGCCAAGCACCAAAGAATTCCCCATGGTGCTGAAAAGCCACCTGGGACTGTCTCGCCTCAGCACCATCACCTCTTGCCCAGCATCAGCTCCTAGTGCCACAAACACTATTCGTCAAGGTGATCAGAGTGCAGGCCGCAAAGCGTCCAAGTCTACAGACTTATTACAGGTTTGAGTCCATTGATGCCTTATTTATCCTCTGTGATCTCTGCACAAGGGCTGCTCAGTTCCTCAGGACTATGGTGCTCCACAGCTTGCACATCCTTACCCCAGGATGTTCAGCCTCCAGCAAGCCCCAGTGAGAGCAGTGATGTGGCTCTGCAGTAGGAGGCTCTGCAGGAGGATACTTTGAATGGCAGAAGGAGGATTTGGGTACACACATAGGCTAAAGCAAGCCTAAATCACACTCTGGGCTAGGAGCAAATTCCCTCTGTCTCTGTGTCATGTCACTCTGCAATGCCTTGATCCTGCATGCCTCGCATCACGGACACTGTTGAGGTCAATGGCACTGAGGGTGGGAACAGCGGTCAGTGCTGGCCTCAGCTGAATTGACCAATGAAAAGGTCATCCCCAAATTTGCTGGGGCCAACTGGTTTGGTGCTGTCAGGAAGGCCAGGCTCGACATGCACGCAGGTACCCCTTCCATGCACTCCCTCCTGTCACCATCACCCTGCAGCATCTCTTGTCTCCAAACTACCCTGCACCCACATCCCCCTACTCCCTGGCAGTCACAGACTGAACTCAGAGCCTGAAAGAGTGAACTCCAGGCTGTGCCATCACCAATGCCCAGGGCCTGGAAAGAACCTAGCATCCCCAAAACCAGCCCCAGGAGCCATGGCACTCTGCAAAAGAAGCACTGAAACAGTGACCCCCTATTTATCCATATTGGGGAAAGGGGGGGAATTGATCTCAGAGGCAGTAAAAGGTTTGAGGAGAATTGATTTTTCTCTTTCAGAGATAGAAAGAGGTGGGAGGGAGGGGGAGACGAAGAAGGGAGGGAGGGAGTGAGGAGGCCTTGGCCCCAGTGAGCACAAAACCCTGCTTCAAAGATGCATATTGCTTCTCTTTTGGACTTTTTTCTTTTTGTTGTTTTGTTTTTGGTGTTTGTTTTTTTTTTTTTTTTTACCCAAAGGGCAGCTGTGATTTACAGCCACCAGAAGGGTTTGCTGCCCTGCCAGTGTGTTGCTCTGGCCCCATCATCCCACAGAGGATGAAGACAACCTGGCCCCAGGGCCATGCACCCCTAGACCCTTGCAGGCAACTCATGAACCCTGCAAATTCCAGCCCCAACCAGCAGAATACCCAGGGCACAGACAAAAACCAGCGAGTGGGCAGGGAGCTGTGCTGGCATCCCCAGCCACTCATGGGGTCCAGGACACATATTGAGTCCAGGCTGCAGCTGGCAGCAGTTTTCTTGGTGGCAGGCATGGCCCAGGAGGGATGAGCTGGGCTGCACCGGCTGCCTGCCTTCCCTTAGAATTAAAAAAAGTCAATCAAATATTGACAATTAAGACAAATAACTGAAAACGCCGGACTCGATGTTAAGTCGGCTGTAAAAATGTCAGCGTGGGGAAAGGGGTCATCTGCAAAAATAAATCAACCCCCTTTACACGCCCACCCCCAAAAATGAGACAAAAAAAAAAAAAGCAGAAGGAAGGGCTTGGAGAAGGAGGAACTTTGCAGCAAAAGTAGATTTCTAAATAACATTTGGGGGGAGTCCTTTTTTTCCCCCCTTTTTTGGGGTGGTGGTGGGGGGAAGCTTAACATTTTCAACTCTATTCTTTCATTTAAGTGACAGATTTATCCCAGTAAAATTATGTTTCATGCTCAAACTTTGAAGGGAAAGTGGCTACGTAAATGCTGAAAAAATGCAGCGAGACACACTTGATCCCCCAACTGGACTGCAAAGAGGAGAAAGTATTCAGGAAATGTTAAAAAAGGTGAAAGTAAGAAGCGTTTTAATAGTTCTTCCAGACATGGGGGCCTCCCTAGAGATTCATACAGAACAATCCTGAACCTCTATTTTAACATTTACAGACTTGCAACTCTTTTAAAACTTTACATCTGAAAAACTGCTTGTTCTCTTTCTGGTTTAGATCAGTCTTCATTTTCCTCCTTAGCTCTTCAAATGCTTAACCTTTTTTTATTGCATTTTAATAGAGTTTTTCAAGCCACCACAAGTCCCCTCCTTCTGGCCTTATTTAAACCTGGTCGTTATTTAAATATGCACTAACTGTTTTTTAAAATCCAGGTATTAGAGGTCTAAAACAAGATGGGATTTTTTTCTTTTCTTGGGAAATTAACTACTGCCCTTTCAAGCTATTGCTGCTCTGGGGTGGGAATAATTCATTTGGAAGATTAATGCTGGATGTATGGAATATCACATAGATGGAATCTGCACTGTGCTTGCACTGCTAACGTCCAGCATGAAATTTTCAGCCAAAGCAAAACGAAGAAAAAACAAAAAAGAACAATATTCAAAGCAGAAGGGTAAAGAAGAATATTGTTTCTACTAATGTCCCAAAGCAAGACAAGGGAATTGCAGCTAATACCAAAGAAAAACACTTGTGATCCCTACATACAGCACACAGGAACACAGGCACTTCCCTGACCCAGGCGCAGGATCAGGCCTCCGGCAGCTGGCCCCGCAGAGCACCGGGGCTCGCTGGCCCCACTGACCCCTGCGCTGGACTGTCCTAATGTGTCATTAGCGCACACCATCAAAGTATTTGGGCTTCGAGTGTCCTCAGTGGAGTGATCGGTCCCCCTGCCCTGGAGAAGGTGGAGGTTTTGGAGAGAGGGTGCCGGGGAGATGGCAGAAGGGCTGTGGCAGAGTGCAGGCTCTCACACTTGTGGAGTCCTTGCTTTGTTTCTGGAGATGCCACAGCATCATCGCCCGCAGCTGACTGCCTCCCTGACCCTCTGTTTCAGATTTGTTTTGAGAAGGGAGGGATGGGGCTACAGAGGGAAAATGCCACTTCAAACAGTCCTAGTTTAGGGAAGGCTTCCACAGCAGCCGTTCCCCCTTTCTCCTTTCTGCCTCTTCTTTTTCAACTTCATTTCTGAAGTCTCAGGGATTCCCATCTCTGCTAAGAGCTGGGATGAAATGACTGATGACACTCAGGATGCTGCAGCACTGAGTCCTCCGAGTCAGGTGCAAGCCAAGAATAAAAAGGAAAGGAGCAGAGTCCATCCTGGCAGCACTGATCCCCTCCCTCAGCACAGGGAACCTGCCCTCACCTTGAATCATGCAGCTGCTGATCGCTGACCCCTATGTTCTCCCTTTACAAGCCCCCGCAAGCCGAATGATTTTAACGATTTCTGGCTAACAAACAGGACGGAAATCATCAATCGCCACGCTGGGCTGCAAACACCTCCCCAGCTCCCCCCTCTTGCCTGCCCACATCATGTGTCCTTACCGTGCACATCCCCATCCTCTGCCATCGCATTGATTTTCTTGTTGTCCAAGATCTGCACATGTTTCCCACTGGTCCGGCTGTACAGCTGGTAGGTACGGACGAGCCGCCGGCTGAGCTGATCTGTCACCAGGCTCTGCTCCCTCACATGCTGTGTAAAATTAGGTGGGGACTGAACAGTTACCTTTAGGAAATTAAAAAATATACAACACACCATTATAATCTCTACTCCTCAGAGGGGCAAATGGGCTGAGCCGAGATCACTGGCCTCCGGCTGAGCTTTACGGGGAGGCAGGGAGCCGGGACCGCGGTGGTGCCTCCTGTGCCATCAAAGCCTCTCTAGGAAGAGTGTTCATCTCTGGGACACAACGACCAGTGCCCTTTACAGAGCTGTGCCCACTCCAGACATGCCCTAAGGTGACTCAGGGGTACAACAGAGCTTGGTGACCCCAGAGGCCCCCCCGCCCCGGTCTCAGTGGGTCCCTGGCACTGAGGTACCCAAGATGGGCATCAAGGCACAGAGCTAGAGGGAGTTGGGGGGGGCATGCAGGATGGCACAACCCCAAGGGGCTGATGCTTGCATCCCACACCTCTCTCACCTCTGCAGGAGCATACTACTGCTCCAGCTGCCCTAGGAACATACCCCAGCCACTGCCCCATCAGTTTCAACAGCTGCCTTTCCTCTGGGTCCCAGGTTCTTTATTTGTTCCCAAACACCACACTTATTCAGCTCTTCAAATGCAAAATCCTCAGAGAAGGCAGAGTTATGAGGTATAAGAATTACAAGAAAACCATACCCCAGCCCAGGTATTCAGTGATATAACAACCTAAGGATACTAACGTGCTACCCAGGCAAACACATCCCTCATCCACAGTCAGCTGTTTGGTGCCAGCAGCGGGGATGTCTCCAGCCCCAGTACACCAAACCCGTTAGCCCTGGAGCCGCAGCTGAGCCCATCCCCTCCAAACCCGACACTGCTGCTCCTAGCTTTAAATGATTTTCATGAGCAGCCAAACCTGCTCCCCCCTCAGCACTGGATCACGAGCTGGCACAGAATTCTTTTTCCCCCCTCGTCTCAAATCCCTCTTTTAAGTCTGGAAAGTTTCGCTGCTCCCTGACATTTATAAAGATGTATTCTGAGCAAATGTTAGGAGATAGCTCCTTTCAACATCAGAAGGCTGGGACTACCCCCCACCACCCCCACGTCAAATGGGAAGATTTCCTCCTGTCTTAAACAACAACAGAAAACCACAATAAAAGCAAAAGCCGCTGCTGCTCCCAAAGCTGGCTTTATAAAGATATCTCCCCTTGACAATGTCATCTCTCTCCCTCTGCTTCTGCCTGTGCATGTGTGTTTCCTATAGACGGGTTTTGGATAATGCAGCAGGATTCTCTCCCCAGGTCTGATGAGGGTACCATGTGGAGGAGAGGTCATTAGCCATGCTGCTATTTGGTCTCCATCTCATACTTCAAAATATTACAGCTATGTTTTTATACAACTGCACACTCCCAGTGCTTCATTCCCTTCACTTTTCAGCTGGAAACTCAATTTCCCCCCCCCCCCCCCCAAGCTTCCAGGAAAATAATAATAATAATAAAAAAGTAGCTTAAAGGGCATTTTAAACAAAGCTTCTGCACCTGTGATCTCAGGGGGAAGGGGGGCTTCACCCCAGTTTGGAGGTGCACCGCTCCCAGCGACGTGTGCCTGCTGGTATGCGGGTGCTGCGCAGGCTCTGCTGTTTAATCTATTCGTGTCACTTCTGTCTCTGGCAATACAAACCAGCGATGTTAAAGTCTGACGGTTTTAAACTGAACCAAAACGTGTGCTTTTTACTAAGGTTTTGGTGAGGTTTCTTTTCCCCCTTTTAACTTTGCTTTAATTTTTGGATAAAATAGCGTAGGGGAAAAAAAAAGGACAAGAGGAATGGGGATATCCACGGTGTAATTTAGAGGTCGGGGGGACGGGATTTAAAGCTACTTAAAGATAACCCTGCGCATTTCCTTGAAATCCCGGTACTCCCTGCCTCGCAGCCCGACACCTTATTTTGTGGCCCGGGCAAGGGGGTGTTCTCCCTCAACCACAGCTTTTTACGGCTAAGCGACTTTTGTCTCCTGGGTTTTAAACTGTTCCTCTTTCCTGTCTCCCTCCCTGCCGAGCCGCTCGGCGGCGGCGGGGCACCCCCCATCCCCGCGGAGCGAACAAAGCCGGGCAGCCCAGCGGGCACTTACCTGGGCTTGCAGGCAGAGGACGAACAAGTGCATTAACCTGGGAGGGGGAAAAGTGGGAGAGAGGTGTGAGCCGCGGGGGCTGCGGGCGCGGAGCGGGAGGGCTGGGGCTGCCGGTACTCACACGTAGCTGAAGAGCGAGGAGCAGGGGTCCATCGCGGCGCCGATGCGGAGCCGGGGGCCCGGGGCCCGGCGGCGGCGGGGAGCGCCCGCGGGGGCGCGGCGCTGCCTCAGCTCCTCGGTTCCTCTCGCCCTGCCGGCACGTCCTCGCCCCGAGGAAAGGAGGGCACAAGCGGCTACAGAGGGGAAAGGCCCCGCCGGCCCTCCCACCCGCCCAACCCCCGGGGCGCTCGGCCGGCGGCCGCTGCCGCGGGTCGCCCCCCGCCCGCTCCGCTCCGCGGCCCCGGGAGCCGGCCAAGCCGACCCGCAGCCCCGACGGCGGGGGCGGGCGCGGCCAGGGGGCGGCAGCCGCCGCGGGGGAAGCCCAGTGGGACCCCCGCTCCCCTCCCCGGCCCGGCGGTACCTGCCGAGGCGGTACCCACGGGCTGCGGACCAGGTGTCGCCGGGGCTGGCTCGGGGCTGCCACTAAGGGCCGGGCTCCGCGGTCAGTCGCCGGCGGGACTCCCTCCCCACTCTGTGCCTCAGTTTCCCCATCCGTAAAACGGAGTTTAAGGGCTGGGAGGGTGGGACGCGGACGCGGTTGCCCCCGCTGGGGGTTCGCCGCTCCGCGAGCGCATTGTGGATTGGGAGAGGGCGAGCGAGCCCTCCCGGGACGTGCCAGACATTAAAAGGATTACCGGGGGAGGGGGATGGAGGGGGCCGGAGTTTCGAGAAGGAGTGAGGCTGAGCAAATACCGCAGCCGGGGTGGGAAGAGAGGAGCGGGACACCCCCTGCTTCTTCCCGAGCATCCCCGCCGGGCGCTTACCTTGTGGAGCGGGCGGGCGCCCTCAGGGCAGGCGGTGCGGGGCCATGGGGCCAGGCGGCGGCGGGACGGGGCTCAGCCCCGCAGCCCGGGCAGGGCCGCCGAGGGCTGCATTGTTCCGGCGAGCCCCGGCCCTCCCGGCCCCGCCACCTGTTGCGCACCGGGGCGGGGGCTGCGGCGGGGCTGCGGCGGGCGGCCCCCGGGGCCGGTACCTGGCCGGGGCCGGGGCCGGCGCCGCCTGCTCGGCGCTGAGTGACAGCTGCTAATTTGCCGGCCGTGCCCCGCTGCCGGTCCCCGCGCTCCCCGCGCCCTCCTTTATCTTATCAGAGCCCATAATTACAATTGCTATTTTGCTTCCTCGAATCAGCAATCAGCGCTATCTGCCGCCGTTGGAGAGGCAGCTCCTGTCAGCCGCCCCTGAGTGACAGCGCGGCGGCTGCCCCGCCGCACAAGCACACACACCGTGCACGGCCC